CTGCAAGACGTGTCCACGGCCAACGCTACAAACGGTAACGCTGAGACCATCGAAAAGATGCTCTCCGACTTTAACAAGAAATCGGATCGGAAGAGCAGGAAAAGCTCATTGGTTCACTCACAAAACAGGTCGAAACCCTATTTGCGAAAACCAGAGTAATTCGCCCCCGCGGAACTACAAAGATCCGCGGAAGGAAGCTCGATTTTGCGACTCCTATTTGTCCCAGAACTGAGCAAGGTAGCTTACCGGAGAAAGACTCCGAAAAAGATAACCCTGACGCGACGCTAAACGAATCAGACAAAACTCCTACTCGCGAACATGAGACCGAGGAAGACGGCGTCGAAAGGGTCAACCTGGAAACAAGCGACCAAGCCGACTCGTCAGACGAGGACGCGGACGTCCATCCTAGGAGGAGGAAAACTCGCAGCCCTCTGCCGGAGTCTTCTCCCGAGCGTTCTCTTACTGGAGACGAGGAGGAGCTCTATTTTGCGCAACACGCAAAAACTGCCGAGGAACGATCTCCAGTTACTCGCAGCAAATGCCAACGAGGTCAGAAAACCGCTGGTGACCTAACTGAGATCCGCGATCTCCGGGACTACATCACTAAAACGGCCGCAGCGGTAAAAGAGGTGAAATCTCAGATACACCATGCTACCAGCGCCGCACCCGAAATCGATCGGTTACTATACGAATCTCGGAGAACGCCTTTTACGGCTAGCATATCCGAGGTCAAACTACCTGATCCAGGAAAACTCAAGGTGCCAACCTATGACGGGACGGCTGATCCCAAAGCGCACCTGCAGGCCTTCCAGATTACCATGGGACGAGCCAAGCTCAAGGATCACGAAAAAGACGCAGGCTACTGCCGTCTTTTCGTTGAGAACCTAGAAGGAGCAGCGCTCGAGTGGTTTGCCAAACTGAGGCGGAATTCCATCGGGAGTTTCCGCCAGCTCGCTTCCGAATTCCTGAAGCAGTACTCGATGTTTATAAATCGGGAAACCTCCGACGCTGATCTCTGGAGCTTGTCGCAGAAGTAAAACGAATCCCTTCGCGACTTCATGAGCAGATTCAAACTCGTCATGGCTAGGGTTAGCGAAATAAACGACAAAGCTGCCATCGACGCGCTCAGAAAATTGCTCTGGTTCAAGTCGAAGTTTCGAAAGTGGATAACTCTCGAAAAACCGCGGACGATCCAGGACGCGCTCCACAAAGCTACCGATTACATAACCATCGAAGAGGAGACTAAATTCCTGTCTGAAAAGCATAAGCCGACGAAAGCATCCGCAAAGGATATCGCGTCCATGCAAAAGCTGAAAAATAAAAACTCTCGTAACGACAAATTCGTCCATCACGAAGGGAATGATCTCCAAGGAGTGCATAACTACGCCATAAACTCTGGATCAGAACAAGGGCGAACTACGAGAAAGACGTGGTCGAGGAATCCGAACTACGACGAGAATTCTTTCTGCGATCTCCACCAAACCCGTGGGCACTCTACCTTGAACTGCAAAGTTCTTGGCGCCAGACTTGCCGCAAAATTGATCACGGGAGAACTCTCCGAGATATCCAGCGTCAAGGATATAATCCGCGATTCAGATCGCCCTCCGAAAAATGACAGGAACTCGCGAGAGGAAACTCCGCCTCAAGGGAACCAGTCGGGCGGAAAACGCGGACGAAGGCAAGACGAGAAAGGTAACGATGCTAACCACCGAAAAATCAATATGATCATTGGCGAATCGAAGTATTCCAGCGACACCATCTCGTCTATCAAGTCCTACCAACGAAAAGCCAAAACCAGCTCGAGTTGGAAGGTGCCATCGGATACGCCCCGAAGGGGGTTATCTCTTTCGATGACGCAGAAACCGGCGGAATCGATCAAACACACTCCGATCCTCTCGTCATTGACTTAGTCATAAGCGACCTAGAAGTAGCTCGAATCCTGGTCGATACCGGAAGCACCGTAAACGTAATCTTCCGCAACACGTTGGCACACATGGGAATCGTTTTATCGGAGGTCGAGCCGATACCGAAGCTGTTGACTAATTTCTCCGACGAAACATCTATGACACTAGGATCTATCCCACTACCGGTTGCAGCCAAAGAAGTGACAAAAATTGTCAACTTCGCAGTCGTCGATTCCCCAACCATCTAAAACGTGATCATGGGCACGCCTTGGATAAATTCCATGAAGGCGGTTCTGTCGACATATCACTTAGGCATCAAGTTTCCGACCCCTACAGGAGTCGCGGCAATTTGGGGATGCCAGAGACAATCGCGATCTTGCTTTTTAGCCGAACATAAACTAAGGCAATTGGCGGTCGCAATCGTGAAACCAAAACGGGCGAAGTACACACCACCGCCCGCGGAGAACGACCCAAAACTAGTAACGGTCGAGAAGCAACAAGCTTCCGTACCCATCACTTCTACCCAACCAGAGGAGACAAAACCGGACCAAGACATTTCCGAAACGGGGGGGGGGAGTGGGTGCGTATACGAGTATTCGTCTATTCTCAAATTTTAAAACATTCGCTATGTAATCAAAATTTTCGAAAAAGCATAAGAACAAATTCAAAACATCCGGAATTTACTTTTGCAGTAACAACTACTTAATCATCTCTACAAAACTTATACACCAAAATATTTTCGGAAAGAACCGGCGAGACGTCTCCTAAAGTCTTAGAAAAATATTCAACAAAAGTCCGTCTGCGACTATAAAATCACAAACGCTCGGCGATTGGCCCCGTCGAGCACGCTAGCCGTCCTAAGCAAACGCACTGACCCACTAGTCCGCATACATCCGACTAAGATAAAATAGCGCGCTATAAAAGAAATCCAAATTTTTGGTCAGCACTTCCGGGCAACTTAGAAATTGTTCCCGGTGAGATGCTCGGTTCCAACCAGACGACAACGCCTCTGCATTAAATATTGATGTATTGCGCTCTTCCTCTGACCAATCCTCTTTTGGCTTGGGCTTCTTCTCATATCCTGTGACTATGGTAGGCTCATCTCAACCAATCTCTACAGCTGTCCACGCATCTTCATTGATTCCTCAAATCATCTACTTCATGCGAGCCTTCCAATGACCATACTGCTCCGCATTGAACATGATTGCCTTCTGTATCGTAACAATCATGTCCATCTTCACCTTCAGGATTACACTGATAACTTAGGTGCCCCGCTCTGATTCAACTTGTAAGTGTATAGATGACACCACAATAGTAATGAAGAAAGTAAACCAGAGACAATATGCAAGTACAAGCAACAGCAATGCTTAATTAGAAATCACCTTTAAACAGTCTATTACAAGACTTGCTTATTAGTTTCACACAGCCTGTTAACACCCTAATAGCTGCTACTAAAGGATTCCTAATCTACCCAAATTTGTCTCTCTTCCGTCAAGTACTTCAGCCACTGCTTCAGCACGACCCCATAACACTTCCAAGAGCTTCTCTCTTACTCCATAAGATCAGCATATGTGTCTGTCTCTCTCTACAGACGACCTCATTGCTATCTTTTGGTTATTCTCCACGTTCTCGAAACCCTATTCTCCAAATAACACAGTATGGACATCTTCCATAACATTAAGTGCAACTTTCATTTTCTTGGAATGCACTTATTCCTATTTCCTTAAGTTATAACTTGCTCCTCAAGTTTATTCCTCTTTCAATATCTCCAAGATATACCCTTGCTCTCCAAGTATACACTACTCCAGCTCTGCATCTTGACTTCACATTGTCTTCACCACTCAACACGACGTCTGCTTCAGCAACTACGTCATCGACTACTCCAGAGCAGACATCTTACATCAACAGTGATTACTGCATCTTCAATCCCATTAACTCGTGATCCCACTACTAGAGCTTCTGATGCGTTGTTTCGACGGCCATTTCTGTATTAATATGTTAGTGTGCTAATCTCTCTTCCTTCTACAGCGATTCATGGTGATGAAGGGACCAGATATAAAGATTCTTCTTCACGGCACAAAGAGACCCAAATTATCAGTTTCTTCAACCAATGGGAATTCCCTCCACCGTGGAGAGATCGTAACGACTCCATAACTTCATCTGCATCCGCCGTGGAGAGATTGAAACGACTCCAACTTCATCTGCCTTATCTCCGATGGGGTCAGCAGAGATTCATCAAGTGCGTCAAGCTATCCGTTTTCCTCACCTTTTTTCCTTCGTCTCCTTCTCCCTATTGAAACCAGGAGATGACACCATTGGAAACCAAAAGTACCGACTTTAATAAATGGAGGTGATGATGCCGTTGCAGAAACTCTAACGAACCGGTAGATGGGCCCACGAGGATCATTGGCAGCAACAGAGGTAGTAACGAAGGAGGTAGCGATGGAGATTCGCAGAAACTGAAATTCTCTGTTTCTCTTTTGAGGGAAGAAGTCGAAAAAGATTTCACAGCCTTCGTTGAGAAATAACACTTCTTCGAAGACAAAAGAAAAGACCAAGAACTGTTCAGAAGCAAATAATGTAATATTCCCTTCTCTTTTTCCCTCTATAACACAAATAATGCTATATCTTTGCTTTGTTCCTTATCGTTGAATCTGAAATCATGATTGGGACAGATGCTAGAGAAGAATCTAAAAGGGATGAGAACTTGTTTTGTTTATGGCAGTGAGAACGTCTCAGCTGAGAGGATCAGTAGCTGACACAGAAGGTTCCTGATTCCAGAAAATCAAATGCCGTTGAACAACATAAAATCTGTTTCACCCAATTCAAAAGTGAGAAATTTTGAGAGTTATTAAATTTGGTAATTTTTATCTTCACTTCTCCTTCTTTGAAATTGCCTTTTTAGTTTTCCTTCTTTTACAGGATTCATTTGGTAAGAAGCTAATGGATAGGACCCGGCCAAACCAAACCCCAGTTCCTGCACAGTACACTTTGCCGCCTCTACCACAGTGTCTCAGGCGTCTTCTAAAGCTGCATTGGAGGATTTGAATCTGCGCTAACCAATGTCGTCTGTAGAGAAGAAAATCCAAGGGAGCCATGTTGATGCAGATCCACAGCGACACTATAGGTGTTGCCAAATCTGCACTTAATCCTCCTAAGTCCAGTTTCATGCCGCAAATTTATAGACAAGGTGGTCTTTCTCTTTCTCTCTGCTCATATACACTTGGATATGTAATATAAGGAATCAAAAATGTTTCTATTTTGTTGTTCTATGTGATCATAAAAGACAGAACTCTGAGCAAGTAGAAGAACAAGATCCACTTATTAGTAGTTGTTCCTCTTTGTAAAGAGTATTCACTAATTAGCTGATGCCTTGGATCATGTTAGGATTTGCTCTTATTCTCTGCCTTTGAACCACTCTTCTGATGAAAATTATATATCAATCTGGCTGTGTAATGTATATACACTGGTATATATTCAAATATTTTTTAAAAAAATTTTGAGACTAATGTTCACACAAATTTGGAGATTAATGTTTATGATAAATTTTAATAGGCCTTTAGATACTTCTATGTTCCTTCATTACCTTTGGTCTATTTTTTTTATCCTTGATTGCAGCTAAGCAGGCTTTGAACCAACCACATGGTCTGTTTCTTATACGCCAAGGCTGCCTTGCTTCAAGCGGGGCGTCAATACCCTGACTACAACATCAGGGAGTACACAAAGTAAAAGACCTTGGATGGGTTCCGTATGAACAAGAATCTCACTGACCCATCAAAGATGGAGGAGGCTTCTGCTGAAGGTAATGCACAGCTGGAGGTTGTATAGAGGGTACTCAAGGTTTACTCGACATATACTCCAAAGACCAAAACATCATGGAACTCAAGCTTCAGTAGTAGATGTACATTTTCCATTTTCAGTACCCTCAAAACATATTTGTTATTGTTCATGTTTTTAGTTTTTTCCAATATGAACAGGGCCGGTCCTGAGATTATGGGGTCATGTTTCCATTTCTATGTAAAAAAAATTTTAGGGGGCCTAAATAAAATTTTGGGCGCCTAGGTCCGTATAGTTTTCTTCAAAAAAATATGGGAGCCTGTAACAAATGTTTCACTTAGCATGGTCACCTTTGTCTTATGGCTGCAGACCTTTATAAAGTGGAGAGAGAGGACACTACCAGAGAATAATCATGGATTAGAGCAGAGATAAAGACCAAATGGTCTTTTGTTAATTGTTCTTAATAATAAACCTCACAGGATTCTGCAGTTGTTCCATTGAAATGATCTCAACCTTTTCTGTAATTTATGTTTACCTTTAGCACTGATGCTTTTAGGTTATAGAAATATAGAAAATCACAAGCTATACTTTAGAAGCTAATAGTTTTTTTTTTTAAAATTCCTAATCTGTTCACGTTTTTTATTTGATAATTTCTTAAAATAAATATGGTTATTTTTAAGTAGTAAAGATTTATATTAAACTATTATACAGATTAGATATTTTAGAAAATAAATTTTACATCGATTCACCATTCCATTATGCAAATCTTGGTTTAGAAGAAAATGTATAAGAAATTATAAAATTATCAATGGATTAAAAGAAATTTATAAGAGAGAGAGAATTCATGATCTATGTATTGAACTTCAAATGTAATTCTGAATAATTTATTCACTTATTTTATAATTAAGTTAGAACAAAAAAAAATAGTAACACTAACTAAAAAGGAATTTTTATTATAGTTAGATAAGTGTATGATTTCTAACAAAAATAAAAAAAAAACCAAATAATTGCTATTAATTGAAAATAAATTAAATATTTCTAAATGTATATAAAATATCTTAAGAAAATCCACTTGCGTACCTGCCCGTACGATTGATTTACCCTTAGGTGCATACTCTTCAATGGGCTTTAAAGTCTTTTTGGGATGAATGATTAAAAATAAAAAATTCTTTACAACAATATTTCACTAATAAAAATATACATAAATGTGCATAATAAATAGTTTACACTATAAATATGTTTAAAAATATGAAAATCATGCAAAAGCTTTAGTACTTCAGTAATGGAAATCCAAAAACTATGTATTTCAGTTTCTTTAAAAAGTATGTTAGTTGTTTTAAGAAAACAATCCTCATTGTTTATAGAACAAAAAATATTTAATTTAGTTCGAATGTAACTTCAGATCTCTTAAAAAAACATTCTACCAATGGATCCTCCGAATCTTGAATGGAACATAGAAACCATTATGAATCTTTCCCCCCCCCCCCTTAATCTGAAATCATATGTTTAAGAGTAAGACCAAGAAAGAAATGGTCCATAGATGCTCATATTTTTTTCTACAAACAATAGGGTTTATTTTACCAAAACCAAGTATCACCCAAAAATAAACTTAAAAATGAGACCGATGAACACCAGGAACAACATTCAAGTCTTATGACTGGCGAGAACCTCAAAAAGATTCATATACATTAGTTGTTAGATATAAATTATTCAACTGCAAATGACATAGCAATTCAATCATGGTGATGCCATAGAAAAAAAAATCCAATACCAAAATTATTTACAAACTAACAAACAACTTAAAATAATAAAATAGTATATCTGAAAATCAAATGCGACGTCTCTATATTGAAAAAGAAGTTTTATGAAACTAATATAATCTTTATAATACCAGCAAGAAAGTGCCACCTCAATAATCTGGAAAATCGATGCAGTGAATGTTATTACTATAAACAAATGGTGAAGTTCTTGGAGTTAGTTTTACGGTGACTAACAAGTGCCTGCACGCATCGACCACTATTCAGTTTTCACACTTTCCAGTTTTAATGTTTTCGTATTTTGATTATTTTTGCTTTACTACCTTCTTCGCATTCAATATAACATTCTACTTTTAATAAGAAATGCAACTTTATATAACCATCACTTCCATTCAAATTTCATGTCGAATGACTATGATTTCAACATTAAAAGTAATTACTCTTATAATATAGAAACAAAAAATTATCCACAACCCAGTTCTTTTGAACCCAAAATATTATGAACCACAAATATTGCACCAAATATGAGATCAATTTTTTGTTTAAAGAAAACAACATGAAAACTATTTGAAGCCCTCATAACATAACAATGCCATATGTCTTTAATATAGAAACAACTATTATTTTTTGACAACAAAAATAACTATTCCAAACAAGCAAAATATATCTTATGACATATAATCTCTTCTAGCCTAAAAATTTCTAAAAGACAAAAATCACTATCATAAACATCTTTTGCAAATGAAAATCTAAAATACAAACTACAGAATCATACAAAAACTAATAACCTAGATCACAAGGTAAAGTATATCTCGCCCATAGCGTGGACTGGCCCTAGTATAGATATATATGAAAGATGTTGATTAAATTTCATGGAACTTGGGTATTTTGTATTCTTTTCATATCCTAAATACTCAAATCCGATTCGGACCTGAAACGGATCCAACTATTACGGATATTTTACAGGTATTTTAATTATAGATCCAAACCGATCCGAACCCGAGATGAACCGATCTAAACTCGAAACGGAAATTTACAAATACCTATTGAATCTAAAATTTTATGATCTGAAAGAATATGTACCCGCAAAAACTGACCCGAACTCGACCCGAAGATCCGAACGTCCAGACTTAGTAACGGTAAGCAAAATATGGTTGTGAGTAGATGTAGGTTAAGATATTGGTTAATGGACTTACAGAAATTGTTTTCAATAATAGTTTTAACTGACATGAATCGGTTGAGGTTTCTTTACGAGCTTCTCCCCATCTCAGATTGCTGTAGTGTGATCTAGATGTTGTTGAATCTTTGTTCATTGAGTGTAATGTAACAACTGTGTTACAAAAGATTAGAAGAAGAACATTAAAGACTACACACAAACCAAGACAAGTGGTACACACCACTCGTACATAATGAGAACCGTAGCTTTGTCTCTAGTGATTCTAAGTTGTTGTGTAATTTTATAAGTTGAAAAGGAAACTAAAACAATCAATAGGAACAATGCTTTGACACTAGTTTAGTCTAATTTACAACAACAAAAAGTATGAAACTACTGTATAATCATACATATCCAGCTTTTCTTGGATCTAACAACTTTTGGTTCAGACACTTATTGTGGGCACATTTTCGTATTCTAAATAATTGATGTGGACCAAAAATTATGAAGGTTCGGTTTCGTGTGGTCGGTGTTAAATGTACCATAAATACTTCGTGTATTATTTAAACTGTTCGGTACCTCTATCGATTTGGGACCAGTGAACCATTAATATCATAATCAATCTCTTCAAACTGTTGCATATTTTTTTAAGAGTTATAAATACTTTGTTATTGATGACTTACTCATGCTGAATGAGCAAAAGATATATTCTTCAGCAGTTTCAGTTTATTTGATTGTTTTGTAAATTATTTTAAAATAAATGATATTCTTACTATTCTATATGAAAATTTCATGGTGTTAGCATTTGTGATCAAGTACATAATATTAGATGTTTTCCTGCATTATGTTCAGCAATATAAATTTTAAATTCAAGATTTTCATTTAAAAATCAAATTTTGTTAATATTTTAGATTTTTATTATTTTGAAATGTTTAATATAAATTTTTATTTAATTAAACATAAAATTAAGATAAAATTTAAAATTATTTAAATTTTTATGTAAGAACATATATTAATATATTTAAATTTATTATATTTTTATATGTTTCTTTAATTATATTCAATTTGTATAAAATTAAGAGAAAATTGATATAAATTGTATAAGTAAAACATTTAAGCTAAAAAAAGTTTCTAAATTTTGTAGATATCAAAGAAACGAATGGTGTTAGGATTAAAAATCTATATATTTTTTTAAAAAATGCATAAACTTTTGAATAAATTTTTAGTAATAAAAATTATGTAATTGTAAATTTTCAAAATTGGTTAAATATTTTATATTTCTATTATTATTTAATCTTATATTTGAATATATTTACTTCACTGATGATGTATGAGTTATTATCATATTTTAAAATGTTTACCAAAAAAATTTAAAATTAAATATAATTGTCTATGTCGTAGTTAGCCATAATCCATGACATAATTATTAGTGTGAAATGTCACTTTTTAGTGAAAGTGTTTAGCAAAGGACACATAATCAAAATTCGAGAACTCACTTGTCAAATAGTGTTTTAGACGATAGTTATTAATTCATTTTATTTAATGATATTCTTATGTAAACATGATAAATTGTATATAATTGTGTACATTATAAAGTTGTGTGTATTAACCATAAATACCTTTTAAATTTAAAATGAAAGAGAGAGTACGATATATGTAGGGGTTTCACAAAATTTTAACGATAAACACAATGCAACATCGACGCTAGGATATATATTATTGAATATTTAATAAAACAATTAAATTCTTAGCTCTAATCTAAATTAGGATTGGACGTTATTTCCCGGCTATATATATAGACAAGGTTACAACCAAAGAATGAAAGAAATAGTATGAATAAAGGAAAATACATGGCGAGTGAGGAGGAGGAGGAAAGAGGAGAAGAGGAGCCACTTAGTCCAGTTTCCCGGCTACTTAGTTCACCTGAACTCTGTGCCGTCATTGTGGTAACAATAGGGTTGAAAACTAGATGCAACATATCCTCCGTTGTTGCAGGCATCAAGGAGTCACTGATTAAGCTCCCTCGCTTCTCTTGTAAACTGGTAATCATAATATATATATATATATATATATATGTGTGTGTGTACCTACATCTATCTTGTTATAGACAATAGGTAAACATGGAATTTTCATTTACTAACGATGTGATTATACGTATAAACTAAAAATATATATATATATATCCTATGTCATGTTCTTTGATCTTAGATTAATTCATTTCAGGACATGGATAGTAAAAATAAAAAGAAAGCAGAACCAGTTTGGGTTCCGGTTAGAATTCAAGTAGAGAGTCATGTCATTGTTCCAGATCTAGATCATGTAAATATTGAAAATCCTGAGGAGTTCATAGAAGATTATTGTTCTAGCATTGTCAATACTCCAATGGACATGTCCATACCACCATGGGAGTTTCACGTGTTGAACCTCAAGACTTCAAATGCAGAATCTGTGGGTATAGTAAAGTTGCATCATTCTTTGGGTGATGGAATGTCTCTTATGTCACTCTTACTTGCTTGTTCGCGGAAAACATCAGACCCGAACGCACTTCCTACTATTACAGCTACAACAAAGAAACATCAAAAATGTAAAGATAAGGGTTGGCGGTTTATTGGTAGGGGATTGTGGTATATTATAAGATTCATCTTCATCAATTTTGTTGAAGTGTTTAAATTTGTGCTTACGCTATGTTTCCTACGAGACACCAAAAATGCTCTTTCAAGTGAACCCATGGATGGAATTCAACCTAGAAAAATTATCCATCGAATAATCGACTTTGATGATGTCAAGTTGGTGAAGAACATAATGCAAATGGTATACTTATACTTCATAGTACTAGTCGTTTTCTTAATACTAATCATATATTGTAAGTTTCATCTTTTTTTTAACTTTAAGTTTCATCATTTCATAGTAACAAATTTAAATTTCATGTTTTTTGTAGAAGGTAAATGATGTTCTTCTTGGAATGACACAAGCAGGTCTCTCAAGATATTTGAGTAAAAGATGTGGTAAACTTTATTTCCTCCTCTTTGATAATCGGTTCTTTAATAATAGTATTAAGTATTACATATTTAATCGTAGTTTCATTGTTTACGTTTCTAATAGATAAAAATATGGATGAGAAAGAAAAATTAAAACACATAATTAATCTTTTGACAGTTAACATTTTAATCGATCATTACTAAATACAGTTTAAATATTTTCTGCAGATGTGAAAATTAAAATACTTCATGACAACGTTTATCATATGTATTTAGTATTCTCAAATATCTGAAATGTTCAGATTAAATTTTTAGACCAAAATTTCAATATTTATTCACTTTAAAAAAAAATTGGTATATAGAAAAGTGAATACGGAAAACATTATATTTAGCTACTAAAACAAGTTTATAAATATATTCGAAATTCTTCTATTAAAAAGAATGACCTAATGTTGTTTGGTATTTTCCAGCAAATACTATAAAATATTAATGTGAATTTAATATCTGATGTCTTTAGCAGATGAAGATTATACTATGACCCAGAAGGAAAAAATCCTAGACAGAATTCATCTTCGTGGTACTGTAGCTGTAAACTTAAGACCATATACAAAAATCCAGGTGAAAAGCATTTGTGTAACTTAGAAAAGAATATTATTATACAACTTTCTAGAATGTAAGACTATATAAAATGTAGGATATGGACAATGTGATGACGAAAGGTGCAAAGTGTACATGGGGAAACTTTGTAGGTCTCGTTATATTTCCACTATGGATAAGATCAGAAGATGATCCATTGGAATATCTACGACAAGCCAAAGCTACTATGGATAGGAAAAAACTTTCTCTAGAAGCATTTAACTTCTATGCAGTCATCAAATTCACTATGAAGCTTTTTGGAGAAAAGGTGAAGTATATCTGAAATCAATATAACTTTTTTACTCACATACTTGATTATAAGATACCTATATAACAGGTCGTGCAAGCTATTTCAAAGAGGTTATTCGATCATACAACATTGACATATTCAAATGTGATGGGTCCAGATGAAGAAATAAGTATATTCGACCATCCAATATCTTACCTCGCAGCAAGTGCATTAACAGGATCTCAAGTAAGTATAGATATATAATCATGCCCTACTTTTATTTCACTTTTTGTTACATAAAGTATAAGAAACTTTTGATTAAACTATATAGTTAATACAATTAGATGTTTATTTGTTTATTTGTTTGTTTATTGTTTGACAAGATTCTCAATATCCATTTTGTAAGTTACGTCAACAAGCTTACCATCAGTTTAGCGGTTGATGCAACTGTGATTCCTGATCCTCACCGACTATGTGATGATTTGGTAGAATCTTTCAATATCATCAAATCTACTGCTCTAGAGAAATATAAAATCTCATAAAAGAGAGGCTTGAGGCAAGTATCACTGATGTATTTGACTATGCCTATCAAATGTAAAAATGAAGTTTTATGTTTCAAAAAAAGAAAATGTTATTATGATTCTCTTCATACTCTTAATTTCTTTTTTGTTACATTTTGAGATATTCCAAAGTTATTTATTAATTAATGTTCTGAAACGCTATGTAACAAAAAACTTGATATGCAACAAGGTAAATTCATTTAAACAGTGGCAATTGTACCAAATAAGTGATGTAATCTAGTGAGATAAAGTACTTGTAACAAGTGTATGAAACCATTTTGATAAAGATGAAAAAATCAAAGAACTGGCGATATAACTTCAAAAGGAATATTGTAAATATAGTTAGCGAAATTCTAATATCAAGACCAAGACCGAACATCAAATAGTGATGTAAGAAAACTATTTGTGATCCATAAAATTTGATTCCATCTTGAAAATTAATCTGCAAACGCAACACATGATTTAGATAGAGTAGTACATTTTGTTAGTCTTTTAAATATGTACAAAGCTTAAGCAAACATATTGGAAAATGTGTAAGCATTACTCCATATGTTTCAAAATGATTTACAATATGAAAAATTTACACATTAAAACTAAAATATTTAAAATTTTAGATTATAACTATATTATTTTATAATAATCTATTTTTATTCTAAATTAAAACATAATATTTTTTCAAATTTATAATTTGTCTTACTCATCTAATAAAATGCATAGAAATATAAATAAATGTGTTTCTAAAAAAAACAAAATAAATTCCCAAAACATGTATGATACAGTAGAGTATTATTAATTTTCTAAAGTTTTGGTTGAATTTTGTTTTACTGAACCCACCTGAATAACTAAGAATTTAAATGATTTAACATATAGATTTTTGATCCATATGCAGCACTCGTCTGAGATTTCTTTTTCTTTCACACCTCAAATATTTGATTCTCTCTCTATCCCCAAATTAATTTATTTTCTGTTATTTCAAACAAACCTTAGTCAATTATAAAACAGAAAATGACTAGAATAAACCTAAAAAAATTTTTGTCACAAATATAGATCTTAACAATTAAAATGATCAAAGTAGCACTTAAATGTTTTATTAAATATACATTTTACCCCTTGGGTTAACTAATCCTAGCACTACAAGGGAACGAGCCATTAGCGACTACCAATTACGACCACAAACATGTGATCGTAGTTTTACATCGAATTTACTTCTACATTACGACTAAAACGTGTAGTCGTAAATTAGAGGTAAAGTTACAACCAAATTACGACAGCAAAGACAAGTCAACGTAAATTGGTCGTACTATTACGACCAAAATACATCGACCAAACGTTGGTCGTAAAGTAGGACCACATTACGACTACAAAAGGAAACCGAAGCGAATTGATCGTACTTACGCAGGTACATCGACGTAAACTTTAGTGGTTAATTGGTCGTAATGTTTCCTATATATACACCCCGGTCTCTTTCTCAAATTTGTAAAAAAAATAATAAATATTTGAAAAAGGGAAAAAATGTTGGGATAAACAGTATAAAGAGATTTACGTATTAATGTAGATCTCATTACCGACTTGTGATTCCAATGTCTTTCTTCTCTTTTTCTAAATATTACAACGTTTTATATAAATTAGAAAAACATTTAATAAATCTTTGAAAAAGGAGAGAAGAGAGATACTGGGATCACAAGTAGTAAGAGATTTACGTACGTATAAACGTAAATCTCGTTACGGGGTTGTGATTCTAGTATCTTTCTACTCTCTTTTTCGAATACTGCAAAGGCGGTCCTTTATTAGTCGTAATTTACGTCTACATTACGACCATTTGTTGTACATGGGTCGTAAATTTACGACCAATGTACAAATATTTGATGTAATGTGGTCGTAATAGGTGTTGTTGTACATTGGTGGTAATTTTACGACTACGTTACGACTAACAGCTTGTTTTACGACTATTTTAGTGGAAGTGAAGTTGTACATTGGTAGTTTAGAACGTAAATTCGTTGTAAAATCGTACTTAACAAAATCAAAATTTCTCTATAAATTCAATCTTCTCCCTCACTCTAATTTATAGAAGAAAAAATCACTCTAAAAATCACTCTAAAGATGAAAAAAATGTCTAGAAATATTTATGAGATTCGGAGTTGGATGTATGCGCATAAAGATTCAAGGGGAAGAGTAAAAGACAAATTTCTGAACGGAGCAGAAGTATTCATGTACCAGACCGGACAGACGCCTCTCACGAAGGAAACGGGTAAAATGTTATGTCCCTGTCGTAAATGCAACAATACGAAGTTTGTTGCTAGTGAAACGGTTTGGAAACATATAGTAAATAGAGGATTTACTCCACATTACTATATCTGGTATAACCACGGAGAAGGTGATAATAGGAATGAAGCTAGTAGTAGTAACCAGGTTTAAAATGTTCATAACAGAGAAGAGCCACTTTGGCCAGTCTTCTTGACGCCTTACAACCTTCCACCAGAGATGTGTATGGAAAAGGAATTGCTTTTCATGAGTATATTGATACCTGGACCAAAGCATCTGAAGAGGTCACTGGATGTTTTTCTACAACCTTTGATTCAAGAATTGAAGGAATTATGGTCAACAGGCGTGCAGACATATGACTGCTCAACAAAAACAAACTTTACAATGCGCGCAGTTCTTTTGTGGACCATTAGTGATTTTCCTGCATACGGGATGTTGTCCGGTTGGACGACGCATGGGAGGCTATCTTGTCCTTATTGTATGGGAAGCACATATGCATTTCAGCTGAAGAATTGGTAGGAAGACGTCTTGGTTTGATTGTCATCGCAGATTTCTTCCCATTAACCATCCATACCGAAGGAATTAGAAATTGTTTCGGTCAAAAAGGGTTGTACGGGACACCGCTCCACCATATTTATCTGGAGAAGAAATCGAGAAAGAAATGATTACTATGGAGGATTAGACACAGTCAGCAGAGGAGGTAATTGGCATACGCCTGCAAATATGTCTGATGGGTACTATACACAACATAATTGGCACAAGAAGAGTATATTTTGGGAACTTCCATATTGGAAAGATCTACTTCTGCGTCATAATCTTGATGTGATGCATATAGAGAAGAATTTCTTTGACAACATCATCAATACTTTTTCGAACGTCCCTGGGAAGACAAAAGACAACAAGAACTCAAGATTGGATTTGCCTGCATTATGTTCCAGGGTTGAGCTGCATATTAGAAATGATGGGAAAATTCTGGTTCCGATTTTCAGATTGTCAACAGCAGCAAAAGCAGCGTTGTTTAAGTGGGTAGCATCAGATGTGAAGTTTTCTGATGGATATGTTTCAAATCTATCAAAATGTGTTGATCAGCAGGGACAAAAGTTTTCAGGGATGAAGAGTCATGACTGTCATGTGTTTATGCAACGACTCCTACCATTTGCATTTGCGGAGTTGCTTCCCAAAAATGTTCACGAAGCACTTGCAGGTACATAAAAAATATTTAAAGTTATTATTACTTTCTGTTTGAATAAACTTATAAAATCTTGTGCATTATTTATAGGCATTGAGGTCTTTTTCAGAGATCTTAGCGCATGCACCTTAACTGTAGATGTAATCAGACAACTTGATGAGAATATCCCGATCTTGATGTGTAATTTGGAAAAAAATTTCCCTCCAACCTTTTTTGACGTCATGGAGCATCTTGTTATCCACCTTCCATATGAAGCACTGCTTTGTGGATCAATTCATAATGGATGGATGTATCCTTACGAGCGAGCCATGAAACATTTAAAAGGGAAAGCAAAAAATCCGGCAAGGGTGGAAGGTTCAATAGTTGCTGGAAGCTTGAATGCGGAAACATCTCACTTCACGTCGTACTACTTTGGATCACAAGTCCGAACACAGAAAAAAGAATACAAGCAGATATGATGATGGTGGTGTTGTGCACACATATATTGTTGAAGATGTTCCAGACATATTATGTCAGATTGGACGTCTAGGTGGAAAAAGAAAAGAAGTTTGGTGGTCGAGTTCAGAAGACGTTCACAGTGCCCACACATATATACTCCTTAACTGCGAGGAGATTAAGTTATTTGTCGAGTAAGTAGTTTTATTTTTGTCATAATTAAAATTATACCACATATATACTCCTTATTAATGATCATTTTATTTTAAAATAGGTATTTCGTTGCCCAAGTCAAGGAAGCTGTACCAGGGATATCAACCAATGATCTCAACAAAAGGAAAGACCAACACTTTGTAAAGTGGTTAAAAATGCAGGTAATTAAGTGGTTAAAAACGCAGGTAATTAAGTTATATATTTAATGAACTTATATATTTATATGTATATGTTGATGATCTAGGTTGATTATGATGACCCGTTTTATCCTCCGTGGTTACACAAATTGATACAAGGTCCGGTCGCGAAGGTCACCACAACATCTATGTATTTCACATGTGGTTACACTTTTCACACTTACGAATATGGAAGCCGGCGAGCAACAATGAACTTTTCACACGTGGTTACAACCAAACAGTAATTCGACTCTAATTAGTCGTAAATTATTGTCCCACATTGGTCGTAAATAGGGAGCTTTGTCCTTTATTTGTCTCTCATTGGTCGTAAAGGTCAGAACCTAGTTGGTCGTAACTAGTTTGGTCCCTGATTGGTCGTAAGTAGCCGACCCTAATTGGTCGTTAATTTTGTTTGGTCCCTGATTGGTCGTAATTTTACGCTACTTAACTACGAATTGTCTCAAAGTAGTCGTAACATTACGACTAATGTACGACTACTACGATTTTCTATATATACTCGAACCCCATGGAAGAAATTCAGTTGCTCATTCCTACTCTCTAACAACGACTCAGCTTCCTCTCGAGGTAATTTTTTTTTTAGTTTTAGTTTTGGTTTTAGATTTAGGTGGTTAGTTAGGTGATTAGATTAGGTTTGAAATTAGTTTAGGATTGATATAGATTATGTCGGAATTAGTTTAGATTACATTTGTATTTTTAAATAATAAATTTGATTTGTTTTTAATAACCTTTTTGTTTTTTTTTTAAATTGCAGATTGACGATATATTACAATGAGCAGTAGAAAGAGACTTCGGAACCTTGCTTCTAATAACTCGTACGGATCATCATTTCTCGGTCAGCCATCGAATCAAACAGCTTCTTCTTCCGGCACCGGCACATCTTCCAGCCAGCATACTGTTCTGGAGAGCCAAACACATGGTGTTCCGTTTGTGCCTCCTCGGGCATACGACCCTGCTGCCGATGCTCCATACTACCCACAGTTCGATCCAAATGAAGTCTAGTTTCCTTTTAACCCCGACCAACATCAGTATGATCCTCAGCAGCCTCAGTATCATCATCAGGAGGATCCTCTGCAGCAGCATGTTTCACCACCTCAGGCTCAGCCATCTCAGCCGTCTCAGCCACCTCCAGCTGCTTTGCAGTATTTTCCACCGCCTCAGGCTCCTCCAGCTACTGCAGCTCTCCATCTAGATTTGATGGTGCCGGCGAACGCACCATATGCAAGATATACGGTGGAGGACATTCTCCAGATGCCGGGACAAGAAGGTTTACGAATCGTCGATCCATATAAACGACCCAGCAAGTTTTGGTAATTATTTTAATTAAAATAATTTTAGTTTTAATTTTATATATGTAACAATTAATTAATATTTATTTTTTAAAATTTTATAGGTTTGATACCGACAACGATTTGGGAGGTAGCGTTGGAGAGATCATCAGGTCTAATTTTCGGTATGCGCATCCGAGCTGGACTCTTACACCAGAACACGTTCGTGTGACTTGGTTCAAGTGCTTTGCGGTAAGTTTTAAATATAATTTTTTATTTAAAGATTAATAATTTGATTAATTATAATTTTGTTGTAGCAAAAATGGAATTGGTCTATCGGTGTCAACGAAGAGGTCAAGGCAAGGTTCAACAAAAGGGCGGCTGCTCGTCTAAAGAACATCGTTGGCGATTGGAAGGAGAACTGGAGGCAAAAACAGGACAACGCAAAGAAGAGCTACCTCAGCGATGACGTTTGGAAAGGCTTGAAGGCTTTTTGGATGTTGCCTGAATCACAATTCACAAGATAAGTCTGCCAAGTACTCTGCCATCCGGATGACCCCTGATGCTGAGGGTAACCCGCTGGTGCCTCATACTTCTGGGCAGACTCCACATGCTAAGAGGGCACTACAAATTGTAAGTATTTGATCTTTTTAGTTCTTATTAACTTATTTAATTAACATACAAATTAATTTAATTATTTTGTTTTTAATATAGGCTGCCAAAGAAGGAGCACCACCATCTCTCGCCCGCCTTTACAAGATGACACACCAGCATTCCGATGGCACTTTCTCGCATCCTCGAGCAGAGAAGATCTACAACGACGTAGAGGCTAGGATCGAGGAGGTTCAGACTCAGCTGTCGCAACGAAATCCGGGAGGTGCACCGGTCTAGCTTTCCACCATCGAGCAAGACAAAAATTTTGAGGAGGTAAAATATAATTTATTTTGTTTATATACATTTTTATTTATTTTTTTAATTTTCACATATGTATTTATTAACTAAATTTTTTATGATCAATTGATGGTTGCCCCGAAGAAACGGGGACATATAGTTGGGATCGGGTCTGTGAAGGATGTTCCGAGAGCAAGAGCTGAGAATGCTGCAAGAATAGATGAAGACTCCTCTCTCCGGACTGATTTGGAAGCTGCCAACAAAGTCATCCACGAGCACAATGACAAATTTAAGACTATGGCTGATGATGCAGAACTCGAACCCGGCCCCGCCTGTTGTCTCTGCATGGGAGGCTCTATGACCGAGCTTAAACCCCACTGATGCTGAGCCCACTCCGGAAGAGCAGGCGGATTTAGAGCGACGTGCCGACCATTCCGGTCTCTTCGACGACATCAATCTTAATGCATAGTTTTTTCGGTTTTATTTAATTTGGATATTATATGGATATATTATTGATATTATATATTTTTCGGTTATAATATATATATTATGTTTTTATAAACGTTGATTTAATATTTTCTCTTTTATATCAAATTTAAATAAAAATTAATTTTAAAAAATAATTTATTTTAATTTATTATATATTAATAATACTACAGATTACTTACGACCAATGAACTACAAAATCATTACGACTAATGAACTTCTAATATTTACGACTACTTAACTCCTCCTATTTACGACCAATGAACTACGAATTATTTACGTCTAATTAACTACGAAAGCATTTACTACACCTTTACGACTACAGTCGTTACGTTTATGTTACGACCAACCCGTTGGTCGTAACGTTACGACTAATGTACGACTAGTGCGTGTAATCGTAATTTACGACCAATCTACAACCATTTTTGTATTACGACTAGCGCCTAACGACCAATCACACTTCGTCGTTAGTTAGTCGTAATAGCCCTATTACGACTGATGAACGACGAATTGTGTGGTCGCTATAGGCTCGTTTTCTTGTAGTGTAGAATTTTTTGTTTAGAGTTGAGGAGTGGGGTTTTGGAGATAGGGTTTCAAATTTAAAAAGTAAAAAAAAAACTTAAAACTTTCAAAATAAAAAGTGCAATTTTGGTCATTTTAATTTTTGAGGTATATTTTTGTGATAAAAACTTAAAAGAGAGCTATTTAAGAGAACTGCCCTAAAACATCAAATTAGGCCACCTCTCTCTCTCTCTCGCCAAAGATCCTTTATGATCATCAAATCTAGTAAAGAAAAAGTTCTCACTTTTCATCAATTCAATTGCTTTCCTGTCTCTAGGTTTCAGTTTTCTCGACCGATTCAACTTCACAGTAACGATCTCTATGATTTAATGGCAGTGGAAGTTGATTCGAACATAGAGCCTCGTGAAGGCACTGAATTTGAATCGAAGGAAGCAGTGAAGATGTTCTATGAAGATTATTCCAGAAGTTTAGGGTTTGTAATGCGTGTAATGTCTTGTCGAAGATCCCAGAAAGATGAAAGAATCATTATCCAGAGATTTGATTGTAATATAGAAGGTCATTGTGTTAGTGTCCCTGACAGGTTTGGTTCTGTCAGGAAACCAAGACCGAGTACTACAGAAGGACTCGTAAGGCTATGTGTGTTAACATACTAATTTTAATCATATATTTGTTTTTACAATAATGTATACAAAATGTTATGATTCTTTTTTGCCATATAGTTTTACTTTTCTTTATTTAAAAAGGAATAATTACTCAAGTTTAAACAAACTAATTTGAATATGGGAAATATTTTATTTTATTCTACATTCTGTTATAGGTATTTAAAACACACATGAAAATTATTCACGTTATTTTTCAAACAAATACCAATACATTTGATGATATAATGCGGAAACTACGAGCAAAACCTATCAGTGTTTTACCATTGGCAACATTTGGAGCCAGTCTTTCAACTTGTGTGGGACTGCTTCTCTATGGAGATGGGATAGAATGTGCAGATGTGTCTCTTCTATCAGCTCCTTCCATTGCGGAATCGGGTCGTGGGATTCAAAACTTACATGAAGTGTCTTTAGAAGTGAAAAGTAGAGAAAGCAACTGGGAAATTAACATTTCGGCATCGCCAGGGACAGAGGACCGACACGTGGCAACACGTGACTAGTCTGGATTACTTCTGTGAGGCCAGGATACCTCTGTATAATTCAAAAAAAAAAAAGCAACAAGATACAAAATGCAACCACGACTCTTCGTAGGCAAAAGCTGGAGAAGTTTAGACTTTAATGAAGAATTAGATTCTGACCCGCCCTTTGAAAGGACCGGTTATTTGCTATTAATAAATTTATCAACCCATTTATTGTACATTAATATGTTCAGGTTTGGGAGTTTGGTTTTCAATCCAGTATAATTTATCGATTTCGTTTTAGTTTGGTAGTGGTTTTTAGTTTTTTTTATTCAAAATATATAAATGAAAAGAATGTACTCATTTGATTTAATTTAGAACATTTTATCATGTAGGTTGCAATATATAGTATATTGGAACAGAAAATTTTTTTTTTAATAACTGAAACATTTATGGAGCAATTTAGTTTCTAATAATTAGAAAAAATCTCTAAAACTAATTTAGTGCTACAGATTCGAATTAGATGATAATTAACAATATGATTACTATACAGGAGTTACAATGCAGTAAATATTTGAAAAAAAATTGACCCCATAAGAAGACTTATATTTTAATAGCATAGATATGAATATCAATTTTGACCTATGATAATAATATAAATCAATTTAGACCCGTTAAAACCTATTGTTTTTTTTTAAAAAAAAAATTATTTTTAAAAGATATCTGAAGAATATTTTCTAACGATTCCAACTATAGCAATTATGGCTTTAATTTTATGGTAATTTTGAGATTCATTCATTAATTCTGTAATTTCTTTTAATTCCCTTTTTTGTGTTTACTCCAAATGAATTCCTGGAAGATAATATTCCTTTCATGATTATATTTATAAACTTATTAATATTTAGATGACCTACGATTTTAATGTCAATTAATTATTGTGGTTTGGAAAGGAATGTTTATTAATTGGTCTCGTGATTGTCCAGAAAAGGTCCTTTTGTTTTTCACTTGTTTTTTTTCATTAGTTGCATAATCGTTATTAAACCTTCTTGTTCGTAAAGACATCTTTTAAATTTCCTGCAATTTTCTCCATAGTTATCATCCGAGTTTTTTCAACAACAACTATAACTTAGCCTTATTCTTATTGTTTATTCAATAAAATTTAAAAAATGATCTTTCAGATAAAACGATTTGTTAGCAAAATGGCCACGGTTGTTCCTCACACGAACCGATTGGCACATATGTAGTCTCTTCTAACTGTGTTCTCAAACTATAATATAAAATGATTACTAAAAGAAAATAAAAAAACTGTAAAATGAAGTAAGTGAGAGAACGGTCGTGCTGTCCCTTGGATTTTAAACGACGGGTTTTCCGGATTTATAGTAAGTAGTTGTTGTTCGCCAACCGTCTTCTTCGTCGGCTACTCGGGTTGATGATACGTCGTCTTGTGGCTTCCTTAGGTGAAGCTTGCTCTTTAGAGGCGTTGGCTCGTGGTTCTTCATTTGGAACCTGTCTAGGAGCCTTATCTCACCTTTAATAAATTGGACCTGCTGCGCTTTCATGATTATTCTGGCATCCATTATCAATCGGCTCTACTTCATTATCGATTTCTTATGTGTTCCATTCGATCTTAATGACATTTTCCTGTCTTTGTTTCCTTATAATTAGGTTTCTTCTTTGGTGTTTCTACCCCTGGCTCCGAGAGGGTTTGTTTACCTCGTCGGCTTATGGACTTCAGAAAGGTTTTTTACCTTTGCTGGCTTTGTGTAAAACTTTGTTCAAGTTATGATTAATCTATCAGATGACAAAAAAAAAGAAGTAAGTGAGGGAACATGGATCCCACCTATATCGTATGCTTCCTATGAAAATAAAGGAAGTTACAACATTACAGTTAAACAATATTCTAGATGCAGTTATATAATATTTTATTCAATGATATTCTAGATGTAGTTATATTTTTTTTTGTTGGACCCAACTAATATCAATTGGGCATGTTTCAAATTTAATAGTATTGATAGAGTTTTGACTTTCATTAAAATATTTCTTTTAGCTACTCTATGTACATATTTACATGATCTCTCTTTTGGTAGATGCATGTTTCTTGTTGGACTACACTGATTTGGTTTGGTTTGAACTTTGAACATATTATAAACTCTTGATGGTGACAAAAAAATAAATGTTGGTTTCAGTTGGATATATTGAATATCATTTTTACAATGTACTCAAAAACTTATGATTCTTTTTGTCATATAGTTTTAGTTTTCTTCATTTAAAATAAACTCAAATTTAAGCAAACTAATTCAACTTGGTAAGTATTATTTATTTTATTCTAGATTTTCTGTTATAGATATTTAAAACATATGATAAGATGATTTCATTAAATAACACAACAACATTTTCCTAAAGCACCACAATGTCCGGATTTTTTTTTATTTCTCTTACAAAAGTCGTTGCACATTGCATCCCCATTGGAATATCGCATTTTCCAAGTACATGGTGACATGTAGTTGGAGCAATTCTCATACTCAATTTCTCCATAACCTATTATATGAATATAAATCATTAAATCAATATGTATATTAATTAATCAAAATATTTAAAATTGAGGCTTAAATATAAACCATTATCTGCAACAACGCTAGCTATAGTACGATAATGAACAGAAGATACGATGAAAATGATAGTAAAAACAAATATGATAAAAGTCCTCCTTGTGATAGTCATTTTTTATCTCTAAATTTTTGGATTGTGTTTCAGATATTCTCTTTAACTTTTTATGATTTTTCTCACACATTCTGATTAATACAAGAAAGCAAACATACATTTAAGATGTATTTATTTAGTTAAATATAAAAATACTATTTCCTTTCATGTATATATTTAATCAACACAAAATACAATAAATCTCTTATATATTAATTGAGAATCATCTTTGGTTACCTGCATATGTGTCAACATTAATTTTTTTTTGAATTTGATGTTCTTAAGTGTCATGATATATAATAAAATGGAACACTCATTAGTCATCTCTTATCCCCTATATATTATTTGAGAATCATTTAAAAAGTTGTAACCTTAAGTTTGTAAGAATTAAAAATAACCCCAATCTTATGTGGCATAGCTATTTGGCTTCTATTTCAAATCCCAAGGATTCTACAGCATGTGATATAATGTATAGTCTAAAAATTATATTCTGTAGCAATATAATATTTCGTAGACTATAGTTGGTCGCATATATCAAATATTTATTGTTTCGCATGCTTTCCTTAAATAAAACATACGGAATTACCTAATGTGATTAAAATATATATGACAATTAATGATTTTAAACAATAAAGATTTGATAACAATCTGTATACTTTTCTCATTTTTTTTATTTATTTATTATTAAAATAAATCACACAATTACATTAATCATATAATAAAAATCTAGATTTTTTTTTGTGTATGTTGTATTTCGAATTTTTCAAAATAAGTATAAATTACTAAAATTGTTAAAAGTCTCACATAAACTTTTAGGATCAAGGTTTTAATTTGTTTTCTATATTAAAATATAATGATTATAAGACCATATGAAGAAATAATTTTAGTTTATATATATATTTCATATCGTTTTAATTAAACTATAAATCGTATGAAAATACATACTTATATTTTGATTGTCTTCAACATATATTGAAAAGTTAATATTTTNAGGATCAAGGTTTTAATTTGTTTTCTATATTAAAATATAATGATTATAAGACCATATGAAGAAATAATTTTAGTTTATATATATATTTCATATCGTTTTAATTAAACTATAAATCGTATGAAAATACATACTTATATTTTGATTGTCTTCAACATATATTGAAAAGTTAATATTTTAATTTTGAAATATGTCATTTTTTAAAAAAATGATTATAAATTATTGAAACTACTAAACATCTCACATTAAAAAAAAAAAAAATCGTTGGTGTAAATTTTTGTTACACAAATATGCAAATAATCATAAAATCATATGAGTAGAAACCTAATTAATAAATATCAATATTAAAAGTGTGCCATATTACTATGTTTATATCATTTAAATTTAATTATATATCATATACAATATATAAGATTGATTATTTTGATTTATTTACGCTAATTTCAAATAAACAAGAGTGATAGTTAAATTTATATGCATACGTCAATTTATTACATAATAGTGACTGATTTCTTAGTTATGTAATATATATATTTATTATTTATTATTTTATGATATGCAGAAAATTATAAAATAAATTATAAAAATAAAATATTTATTGTGCATAAAGTGCAGATCTTAACCTAAGTATGTATCTTTTTAATTATTTTAAATTTTAAGTATATTCTAAAGGGAAAATTGCCAAATATGACTCAAAACTTGATTTGAAATGCAAAAGTAAACCCAAACTTGAATCAAATGCAAAAGTAACTTAAAAGGCTATTGAAATTACAACCAACCCCTTGTGAACAAACAAAAAAAAAAAAATTTTACGTTTCTAGCCCTCGTAAGTCGTCTGCCCAGACGACTTAACTTAAAGTCGTCCAGACGACTTAACTTAAAGTCGTCTGGGACAGTTTTTCTTAAAAATAATTTAAAAATTCTGTAATAAATATCTTGATAAA